GAAGTCGATTGGGTGATAATTCTGCAGTGGCTCAAATAAGTAAATTAAGAGTAGGCCAAGTTTATGCAGCATCAGTTATGTATGGATATTTCCTCAAGAGAGTGGACCAGAGGTTTCAGCTAGAAAAGACCATGAAAGTCCTTCCTCAGGGTGTAGACGATGAAGATGGTAGCTTTCGGCAAGTGGGAGGAGAGGAGATTAGGTCTGGTGATAGGAGTGATACTTCTTCCAGGGTAACACAATCCCATCCAGAATTGTCATCATGGTCTGCAGGTAGTGCGGGTACTGGAGGGTTTGGCCATGGGATAAAGCCCTCAAGATTGAGAAACTATGTGATGTCATTTGATGGGGAGACACTCCAGAGATATGCCACCATCAGATCCAAAGAGGCCATAGGCATAATTGAGAAACACACCGAAGCACTATTCGGTAGACCTGAGATTGTTATCACCCCTCAAGGCACTGTTGACTCTTCTAAAGATGAACTTCTTAAGATCAGTTTTGGAGGGCTGAGGCGGCTTGTTCTAGAGGCTGTAACTTTTGGGTCTTTCCTCTGGGATGTTGAGAGCTATGTTGACTCAAGATACCATTTCGTTGCAAATTAAAAATATTGGAGCCTCCATGGTTTTAGATTTATGCCGGAGGCTTACAAACATAGTGCAGTAGCATGTGCTAAGGGAATGACAGTGGATCATGTGCTTGTTGACTTGTATATACATATTTCGTATTTGACATTATTTAACAAGAGTGTGTTTCCATAATAACATGATTACAAGACGTTTACATGATTACATGGCAGAGGTGAACACCTACATTCCCCTTCCTCCTTTTCACTTAAGCCCCAATAAAGTGTCGGTCTTGGTGCAATTAGGGAGGAACACAACATTTGTTTCCTCGATATTTTGTATCCATTGTCTTGTATGTCCCGTTCATGCTTTAGTGCCTATTCCATTTTCTGCTTAAAGCAGTGACGTCTATTACTTCGTGGCTTGTTTGATTGACGGAAGATTGAAACAAGCAGGATATATTTTGCTGTTGACATCATTGTCTTCGATTTTGGCATGATTGCTATTAAACCCTCTATTATTGTAGTGAAAGTCAATTTCAGTGTTTAGAGCTTTGCAATAGAGAACTCATCTCCCCAGTTGCGGTCTGTCTCTCTCTACTATTGCTTTGAATGAAGGTGTATCTTTGAGTAGGAATTGCACTGGGTATCCACTTTGACCTCTATCTCTATTTAAGTTATATTCTGTTTTTAAAAACTATTTAAAGTTTAGATACTGCTTGCCCTTCAAGCGTTGTGGTGTTTTGTTAGGCATTATAACTGTGGCTATTGATGTCTTCTCAGTGAGGATCATGTACAGTAAAATGATGTCAGTATAGGCGTTATTTCTTCACCGGGTATTATAGTCTGGCTTAAGACGATAATTGCAAGCTGTATGTATCTTCTTGTGCTGTCCCGCGCTCTCTTAGCCTGGTGATGTCTTGCACAGAGACAACAGGAGGCTATTAGTGTTGTGTAGCTATGCCAACTTTAGACTTGGGGTATGACAACTTCAGACGTTCAGGTCTGAAGTTGGGTTTTGCTATGTTTGATCTTAAACATTATTTTCTGGGCACGCAGTTAGGCTTGGGAGTCCTCAAATTCAGACTCGTATAAAATATTCAATTTCAGTCCTACAGGTCATAAGTTGATTCTGAAATGGCTATTCTTAAATACTTTGGAACTTTCGTCTAGTCTTGAACAACAATGAAAACACACACGTTTTAGGGTCAAGTATTTGATGTCCTTGGCTTATAGTAGACTCGAAAAAGAGAAAATAAGTCAAAGTGGATGAGAAAGCGGCTAATTCACAACAGAGCAGCAAAGGAATCTTATAGTATTAGTGAGTATGGAATTGAATGATGATTTAGTTGTGGAGATCATCTCCTACTTGCCGTTGAAGCTTTCAGTTCAATGTAAAGTTTTAAGCAAGGATTTTAATAGTAAGATTTCTGATCCTAAATTTTCTCAAACTTGGTTCCAACATCAAAACATCTCTACACTACTCATTTATTCATCATACAAAAGTTTCAACAAACTCTCCATGAACTCTATTCCGTCCTATCATTGTCACACGACCTTACCGCTTAATGTTTCAATTTTGGCCTCCTGTAAGGGTCTGCTTCTCCTTCAATTTCACGAATTTACGGCTTCCTGTGTTTTCAATCCTCTAACTGGGGCACATCAATTGATACCATTACCAGAGGCTACAAAAAATTATTTTACCAGATTTGATAGTACAGGCTTAGCTGTTGATTATATATCCTACTTCAGATCAATATAAATTGGTAACAATTGGGGAGCTGGCTGGAGCACATGGGTACAAGCTTCACGTATTTTCATCGAAGCGATCTGTCGTGTGGCACGAATTCAAATTGAAAATGTATTCGGGCAATACTGTCAGCTATTTGGCTTTTAATAGTAAACCTGTTTACGTGAATGATTCCTTGCATTGGCTCAGACGAACTGATGGTAGTGTTGTTGCTTTTGATACAAAGAGAGAGCATGTTAAAATTACTAATAGTCCGGAGTTCATCAGTTGTCATGATTCGGTAACAATGGTAGGCCTGATTTTGATACATGGTCAGGGACGGCGCAAGGTTTACTTACTCTTGTTTGCGTTTTCAAGAAATCCATAGTCATTGCTAATTATGATTACGTAAGCAGCAACTGGAGAGTATCCCACACTTTGGACAACTTCATTACGGTTGTGGACGGCTATAATTATGGTTTCCCAATCTGGATTGACGGCAAACAGGTTCTTTTCCTAGTAAATCATTACCTGGAATTGCATAACTATTTGTAGACGTATGATTCTGAGATCAATGGGTATAAAATTGCAGCAACTCCGAAGAAAGACAATGTAATTAGTCGTTACCTCTGTTCATTTGAACCAACGTTAGCCAGTGTCCATAAGACACTCTCAGACACAATCCGCGCTAAACATATGACAGCTATTATTGCAATGTTAGATCAGCTCAAACAATTTATTACTGAAGCCACCAGTTAGTTTCAGTTCAATTTTGTATTTTAATTTATTACAAGTTGTTTCTATGTCCTAGAGGAGAGTACTGAACTTATTAAGAACAGTTTTGGAGGGTTGAGGCATCTTGTTTTGGAGGCTGTAACTTTTGGGTCTTTCCTCTGGGATGTTGAGAGCTATGTTGACTCGCGATACCATTTTCTGGGCGGTTTGATTGATTAAAATGTTGAAATAACTAGGAGGGTAGCTCTTACCATTCATATTTTTAGATATGGATACTAACGTAGTATATGACTATATGTTGAAGTAACTAGTTTCTACTCCCACCGGTCTACTTTAATTGATTTTTGGGCATGACTTGGATTCGACCTTGTATAGTGATTCTATTTTTGTGGTCACATTCGTTTACATGAGAAGGGAAAGATTGTCCACTCTGTTTCTTGTATGTACTTTTATTACTTTGTTGCCGCAGTCAATTATACCTTCTTACGACAGTGTAAAACATGGGCATTCATAAGGAAGCTCAAGGTTAAGAAACAAGATAAATCAACAACTTTTACTTATATTTTATTTAATGGGTGAAAAGTGAAAGGAGAAACCATAGTAGTACATATTACATAATGGTAAGATCAGAAACAAGAGTGAGGGGGAAAGCATGGTATAATGGATGGGTTTGGTAATTAGGCAATTAGACCTTATCTTTGCTCCTACAAATTATTGATTGGCAATAGGCAATACCATATCCAAACATCTTTATCTTGTATGTGTATTCTGAATGAGAATAACCCTTCCAAATTCTGTGTTTTGAAGTAGCAATATTCAGCTGAACCAATAAGCTTCTTCTTTTAAGCAAGCAACAGTGTATCCAATTTGGTTAATTACTTTGCAAAGTAAAATTATCTATGCAGGGGCGTATGCATAACTTTTTACAAACGGTATCACATTTAAAGAAGGAACAAATAGCCTCATTACTTATTACTTATTTTCTTCATAGTAAAAAAATTAAAATGCGCGTTATCCTGCTGGTTATAAGAAATTTTCGTCTATATCCTGCTCAACCTTCCTTTTTCTCCGAACAAAATAAGCTTCAAAATTTTCCAGAACATAGTTACTAAGGAGAGCCGGAAACTAGACCTAGAGGAAATGAGGCAGTTGCCAAACCACTGGACCAAGAAGAGAGCGTCACTCCTGTGAGATATATATATATATACACGTATTTGATAAAATTTTCATATTATTTGTATGACATTTGGTAAAACATTTTGACGAAAGCGCTGTCACATGACACCGCTCTGTGTCTATGTCCTAGTTGTCAATTCACATTACCATCCCATTTTTGAACTTACAATTAGGGACGGAGGGAGAGCATTAGCTACGGGTTCGGATGAATCCAGTAGCTTTTGCTCAAACCCAGTAACTAAGACCAATTATGGCTTCGGTGACGAATTCAAAACCCATAAACTTCAAATTCTAGCTCCGCCAGTGCTTACAATTTTCATGGACTCAAGTGTGTGCGTCGTTTTTTGTACACGACTGTGTCCTTACGCCATGTTAAAGAGCCCAATAACACAGTAACTCAGTTTTAGGCTTCAAGTTTATAGAGAAACGCGCAAGTTCTTAACATGACATGACATCTGTTTACACATTTTCTCCCCTCTTTTTACGTTTTCCTTTTTCCTTTTGGGAAATCGTTTCCCATAGTCAGAACTGCATCAAGGAGTACCAACATGAAAATTTAATTTTTCAAAACTTTCTAGGGGGCAATATATACAATACCCATGTGACTTATTAGGAGCACAAAATACTAGGAATTGCGCCAAAAAAATGATTTTCGATAGTACATTGTTATCTTGAGTAATTATGATGCAATAGACATGCAACCTAAAAAGAGAAATATTGAATGAATTAAACGCATAGCAGTACTATTATCAAAACATATACCGAGTACAATTATATATGTAACATGAAGGAACCGATATACCAACTACACATCAAACCATCCCTTCTGTTTATGAATGTACTAATTCTAATACTAAGGATGGAAGTATTATTGCTGACTATACAATACAGTGCAGTAATGAATGATGAAAGTATTATTACTGGCTATACTATGAAAACCTCTCCATTTTCAGAATGCCTATACCTCTGTTTTTGCCTTGTTCGGTTTCTTGGGCCTTTTAACATTCTTATCAAATCTGATTTCGTACTTGATCTCAGGAACATTCAGTGCTTCAATAATAACTGTATCCCCAATTTCCAACTCGTGTTTGGCCGCGTACTCAAACCAACCTTCTCTAAGATATAACCCCAAATTTGTTTTCACAACTGACATCTTCCACTCCTTCTTCTCTTCACCACTTTGATCAGTTAGTGTTATATCAGCAGGTGCTTGAAGAGGAGTTTTCAGTTTATCTAAGTATTTCCGAAGTAGCCTCAATCCCTCCATACGTTTGAGATCCGAATGCCTTAAGTTCTTACGAAGCACTGTTTCCACATTAATATTGGAACTGCAATTTCAAAATATGGCTACTTTAGAAACCAGAAACAATTCAAAATGAAAAAAGAAAAAGAATCAAATTGACATACCTCTCTATTTCTGGCACCTCATCAACAAAAAAATCATATACATCAATATGACCATAGTAGGAGTCGTCACTTTCTTGGTCAGCTTCGACTTCAGATTTTCCAGCATCAGCCACAATCCTGTGGAACCATAAACCATCTTTCTTTTTAGGCTCAGATATTAAAGAAAATTGAAATAAAGTTTGTTTCTTGATAATTTTTTTTTTCAAAAGAAAGTTACATACTCATTGTTATGATCTTGAGTGTTCTTCTCTTCGATTACCGCTTTTCCGGCATCGGCTTCTTTCTCAGCGACAGTCCTGTGGAACCATAAAATATCTCTCTTTTACTCATCAGTTAAAGAAAACCGAAAGAAAATTGAAATAAAGTTTGTTTCTTGATGATTAATTTTTTCAGAAGAAATTTACATACTTATTGTTATGATCTTGAGTGCTCTTCTCTTTGACTACCGATTTTCCGGCATCAGCTTCTTTTTCAGCGACAATCCTGTGGAACCATAAACCATCTTTCTTTTTACTCATAAATTAAAAAAGTTAAAGAAAACTGAAATAAAATTTGTTTCATAATGAACAAAATGTAACGAAAGTTACATACTCATTAGCAGTGAGATTCCCCAGAGTGTTATTGGTGTGTACAGCATCAGGTGCGTCACTTTTTTCATCCGCCATTTTTGAGTTTCTTGGAGCGAACTGGGCTTGTAATTCAGAGAGCGAGAAAGAGAACAGAGAGAATACTAAAAGGGCTCTTTTCTGACTTAACTACTAGTACTATTTATACTAAAACTTTGAGGTGTGGGGCTGTGGGCGGGAACAATATTATACCGTATCTATGTAGTATTAATTAAAAACACTAAGTAATGAATAGCACGATGATAAAATGCAAGGAAAAAAAATATAAAGAACTAAAAAAATATTATTTGTTTGTGTTCATTACTTTAAAGTCTTTTTTTTTTCGTTAAGTAAAAGTTATTAAACTTTGTATTCATTACCTAAAAATCATTTTTTTTACTTTTAATACACAAAAATTATTTTACTTTGCTCTACTTATCACAATAGCCATCCTGTCTATATTTTATAATATTTTTACTTAAAAAAGTCTATTATGCCCTTGACATTATAAATTCTCCCATTTATGTAAGACCTTCTATATTATATATTTTTTACCTAAGTATTTTACTTATAAGTAAATAATTTATATTATTTTATTTATAATTTTAAAAATATATCTATACATTTAATTTTTTTAAAATATAAAAACAATAAATAATATTTGTTTTTAAAATTTATTTGAAATACTAAAACAGATTTATTTAACAAATGATTTTTTTATAGTCAGTAAAACTTAAAATAAAATTCTATGATATTTGTGCTTAATATTAAGTTTTATAAAGTTTTAACTCTTAATATTATTTATTTAGAAGTACTAGTCTAATGTGTCAGTGTGAGTATTTTGTATATTAGATTAACGAATATGGCTTGGGAATAAATCTATGAGCTTCGATTTTATAATTTTCATTAAAAATATTTTATTAGGCATGGTTAAGAATATTAACTTGAGATTTGTTTATAGTAATGTTGCTGACAAATTTAATAATGCTACCTATATATCTTGAAAATTATCGTTAAGAAAAAATTAATTGCACAAATATATTATAAAAATAATAAATAAAGTAATATAAATTTTATTATAATTATAAATAAATACTTAGGTAAAATATATTATACATTATATAATATAGAAGGTATTACAATAAATAGGAAAATTTATAGTGTCAAGGGTATAACAGATTTTTCAGGTAAAAGCATTATAAAATCTGGTCGAAATGACTATTGGGTAATAAATACAAATTTGAATAACTTTTACGTAACAAAAAAGTAACTTTTGAGAATGAACACAAAGCTGAACAATCGCCCATGAAATTTACTCTATTTTTACAAACTTATTCAATTTTCTTGGAATTTTTTTTTATCGTCAACTGACAAAAAATATAAGTGATGTTCATGTAACAACAACAACAACCACCCAGTAGAATTTCACTAGTGAAGTCTATGGAGGGTAGAGTGTACGTAGACCTTACCCCCTATTTGGAGGGGTAGATAAGCTGTTTTCAAGAGACCCTCGACTCGATGTTCATATAGCATAAATTAAATCTAATATTTAATAATAAATAGATCGAATACTAAAGTACAAGTGAATACAAACTCGCACTTAGGTGAACTTAAACTATCTCAATTTCAATTGAACCTATTAATTAATTAACCACTGGACCAAAAACCTATTGAAGATATAGGCTAAAATTATATCAGAATCTAATGATAAAGATTGCATTTTGGCTCAGATATTTAATGGTAGGAAGGTTAACCTAAAACTCCTATTTTTATATTCCATATATATACTTTTAAGTCCTATCATGTGTCAATTTTAGCAAAAAAAATTAGGAAACCTCGCCTAAAGTGCCTCAACGTTCTTTCACTTCCTCTGAACAAAATAGCTTATTTTTAGTGATAATTTGAGTTTTCTGCTACACTTTGCAAAACTCTCTACTTAGCAGTTAATTAATTAACAAATTATGCAGCTTGTTAAATTTACTTATTATCAAAAATATATTTGTATAAAATATTTTTCTCATTCAATGCTATTTCTATGTCTACCCCTAAGATTTTAGAACTTCTTGATGATCTACTTGTATGGGTCAAAATCTAGCCAGAAAAGAATCTGCATGGAAAGGGACGGCAAAAAGTTACTTGGGTCAAAGTCGTATCTATACAACGCTACAACAACACGCACCTCGGCCACGACCGAGGTCATGTATTCAGAACGCTTGAGTGACGAATTGGGTGTTACGGCATTTCAAAGGATCAACCGGTAATATAGTCAAATAATTTAAGTATTATGGTTAATGACCGTTGGGTAAAGGAGAAGACCTAGTATATAAACTAAGTGAGAAGAAGAAGAAGAAGAAAAGGGGTTGAAAGAAATCCACACACACAGACATGTTCCCTGAGAGGAGGAGGGATCTTCATCTCTCTCTCTCTCTCTTCACGAAGGAGAAAGAAGCAAGGAAGCTCAGATCAATATATATCGTTAGTCTCATCATATCAAATGTATGAGGTTCTACCCTGTTAAAGATTGGTGACCCTTTTCATATGTATATTCTTCATTATTGTTTAAAGTTATGAAAATCACCATCCTCTTTGATGGGTTTTCAATATCTTTGCCTTATGCTTCTTATGTTTTGATGATCTAACAAACTTATTGTCAAGAACCAGATAAAGAACCTCACCCACCTGGTGTACTTTTCAAATGAACAATGTTTAGTCTGATCTCCAACAAGTGAGTGAACAACCATAAAGAAGAACACAACAGGGACCTGGTCCCTTAGAGTTCTCCGACAGAAGTACAAGTGAAATGTACAGATGGAACGTAACAGCGGATAGTGACTATCCACAACTGTTACAAAGAGGAACATAACAGAGACCTGATCCCTTATGGTTATCTGATAGAAGTACAAGTTAACTATACAGCTGGAACACAACTGCAGAAAGTGACTGTCTGCAAGTATACACGCGACAATGCAACAGTCACTTCTCATTGGGAAGAAGCGTGTGCCAAGATTTGACATCACCATTGTAATGTCTTTTGTAGTATAACAACTTGGTACAAGGCACAACACTTCTTTTGAACATTCAGTGATATTCTCTCAAGCATTAAAGTGTTCATCCGGCATTGAAGTCACTGGTGTGTCAAGAACAAGAAGACAACTCCACTAAAGGATCAGTTTCACAATGAGTCTATGTGTATCCGTAGTTGAGTTGTAATCTTGTTATTTGTTCTTCATTGTAACTCCTCTCTTGCTTTTTAGAAGCTTTATTTTAGGAAAACCAAAATCCGTAAATTTTCTAAGTTTATGTTGTGACTAGGTTTAGTCATAAGTTTAAAGCTTTTGTAACTAGAGAGTCACAAAGTGGCTTGTGGTAAGAGTATCACAAGTTAGTTAAGTTGAATCCTTTGTAGTAGAAGTATTACAAAGTGGCTTGTAATAGTGAGATTACAAGTTAGTGAAGTTAAAAGCCTATAAGGGTAGGTCGTGATTTTTGTCCCCTTGTGTGGGATTTTTCCACTTAAAAATTCTTGTGTCTCATTTACTTACAGGTTTAGTAGCATTCTCAGCATAACCTTATAAAGGACCAGGTATTCTACTATTTGGTGGACTCATATAAACTAACAATTGGTATCAGAGCGGGTTCTTTATAAAAGGCTAACACCTAGAAAGGATCTCAATGGCTGCTCCACCCAACTTTGAGGAAGGACAATCAACCTACATACCTCCTAGATTCAATGGTCAATACTACGATTGGTGGAATACTCACATGCATAATTTTATAACGGCCGAAGATTCAGAACTGTGGGACATCATCTGTGATGGTCCACATGTTCCTATGAAGAAGCTTGAGGAAACTGGACCAATGGTGCTGAAAGACAAAAAAGAGTACATCGACATCGACAAAAAAGCCATAGAAAAGAACTATCGTGCCAAGAAAATCTTGGTGTGCGACATAGGACCCGATGAGTACAACAGAGTCTCAGCTTGTGATACCGCTAAAGAAATATGGGAAGCGTTGCAAACCGCACACGAAGGAACTACTCAGGTCAAACAGTCCAAAATTGACATGTTCACCACAGAGTATGAGCTCTTTAGGATGAAAGATGATGAGTCTATACAGGATATACACATTAGATTCACCTCCATCATAAATGAGCTTCATTCACTTGGAGATGTTATTCCCAGAAACAAGCTTGTAAGGAAAATCCTTAGTGTTCTACCCGGTTCTTGGGAAAGTAAGATAAATGCCTTTACTGAAGCTAAAGATCTACAAACTCTAACCATGGATGAGTTAGATTGGTAATATGAAGACATACGAGATGAAAAGAAAGAAAGACAGTGAAAGGAGAGAGCCGAAGAAGGAAAAGAACCTGGTACTCAAGGATGAAAGCAGTGACTCAAGTGATGAAGATAGTGATATGGCCTATCTTACTAAAAGATTTCAAAAGATGGTTCGAAGAAATGGTGGTATACCAAAGAGGGGCAGTTCAAGTAAGGCAAGGAACAATGATCTCTGTCATAGGTGCAGAAAGCCAGGGCATTTCATCAAAGACTGTCCATTCGTAAAACAGGAGCAATACAAACAAAATCCTGACAAAGCAGCAAAAAGTAACCTGGTTCCAGACAAACGATTCACTCAAAAAAGTGCAGTTGACAATATTGTGAAGCAGGCTCTTGCTTCTTGGGGAGACTCCTCCAGTGAATCAGAAAGGGAACCAGATGCATAAAACAGTTCCATGATAGTAGTGGAAACTGAAGCAACAAAGTATGACTCATTGTTTGCGCTGATGGCTCAGTCTGATGAGGATGAAGAAGATGAAGATTATGAGGTAAATTTCAGGGATGTTCAGAGAAATCTGAAATCCTACTCTTCTAAGAAGTTAAGGTCATTAGCAAATGTTCTAATTGATGCTTATTATAGCCTTGATAATGATAAGGAGATCCTGACCATAAAACTAGGAGAAGCTGAACAATCTAAAAATGATCTGGTGGTTTGTGTAGTGGACCTAAATGAGACTATAGCTAATCTTGAAAAAGAAAAAGAAGCTCTATATGAAAAAATAACTAGTGTAGAAAATGAGAGAGATGACCTAATAGTAGTGGTCGTTGACATGAAG